CGCCCGCCCGACCGGCACACCTCCTCGCCTGGCCGCGCGTCCCGGCTTCCCCAGCCCGCGCCCACCCTCCGGTCCTCCCCCCACCCGAGCCCCGTCCGGCGGGAGAAGATGGAGATCGGGGTGGGATAGAGTGTTGGACACCGCTCGGGAGCGGCTCGCCAGGTGGGACTCGGGAGCCTGGCAGACGCAGAATGAGGACGCCCCCCAAGGGTGCCCTGCCACGGAGACACGAGGACTAGATGGAGAGGAAGGACTAAGCCACCGGCCAGCGAGGCCTCCTCTTACTTCCCAGGCCCGCTCTCCGTCTTTTGCCCTCGGGCTCCGTGACCTCCGCCAGCCCCGAGCGTCAACTCATTTCAGGTGAGGAGGCCGCTGGTGGCTAAGATTAGCCAAGGGGCACAGTTGGCTACCCGTCCTCGTAAAAGTCAATGTCATCGAGGCGATTCCGACGCCCACCGGGGTAGAACTGCCCTCTTTATGGGAGTAGAAAGCTCATCTTTCGCCCTCGTAGCCCAGTGGTTTCCAACTGCTGCCCATGCGGTTTAGCAGACCAGTGCGTAGCAAGTCCACCCCCAGCGCTCCTTCCCGTACTTGGAGAAAACTTGCCGGACTGAACGTCCCACTTAATGCTGGAGGTGGAAATTTCTAACCTGGTTAGTTACTGAGGCCCTACCCCAACTTAAACACTTTTCACATGTACTCTGATGTATATTTGTTAATAATTGTTAACCCAGCTGATCCCATGGCCACTTCTCTAGCACACAAACCTACTAAGTTTCCCTCCGTCGATTGGCTCCTTTGGAGTGCATGGGTGGGCAGGTGGATATGGATATACGATCATAGAGAAACAAACTTAATCTTGGAGAAAAGTGTTGCCATTTTAAAGGGGGGCGTAGGACACCAGCCTTCTGCCATATACATTTCTTGGCTGCATTTCCAATTCTGAGGCATTCCTTGAGGGAGATTTTGATTGCCTCTTTACTCTCTCTTAATTACCAACCATTCCAGAACCAATTATTTGGAGACACAGTATGTCCAGGGAATTAATTATGAATAGCTACCTTGAAAGACTCTATAGTCATTGCTGAATATTTAGACTTAACACCCTTCGTTTCAAAAAACACATCGGCTTCAGCACAATAGCATACTCTTTTAATAGAGTTGCCACGGATTTTTCAGCAGTTCCAAACGTCCAAATGCACACAAGAAGAAATGAGATGTTATATGAATCGTTTCAAAGATTTTCACTAGACTAGTCTGATAAAAACAATTTCAAACTTTAAAGAGGATGGTGTTACTCGCCTACCCCTTTCCATTTACTACCCTTGGAAAGAATGAGCGGAAGGTGACAGACAATCAAGATTCGCCTTTATTAATGCCTGGACTTTCCTGTCACTTTTCGCTTTCCAAAACTCCTTTTGCACCCATAAGAAAAGCATGTCAAACTAGGGCTATCAAGGTCTGGAACTGATTGGCTCTTAGATACAAATGGGATGAACCTGCATGTGGAGTGGGCTGGGCTCGGTTAGGGAGAAGGCTCTGTTTTTAACAAGAAACAGCAGATTTAAGAAGCACGAAAGGTGCTAAGTGTATTGAGGGGTAAGTGTATTTGCTGAAGAGGGGGAAAAATGCAAAAAAAAAAGAAGAAAAAGATTGATGGCTAAGAGTTAAGTTTGGCAATTGAGAAAGAAATGGGAGGTTGAACCTTGTGGGAGAAAAGATGGAAAATACCAAAGTGGGACGAGACCTGAAGATAGGGTATATTGGGGGAGATGAATGTCAGGTCAAGGGAGCAAAAGACCTGTAAACTTCCAACTAATCTTTTTCTTTTCTCTCCCACCCCTAAGTTAAACGATGGCAGAGACGGGTCTGTTAGAGGCCGGGGCCTCTGCGGCCTCCACAGCTGCCGCGCTGGAGAACTTGCAGGTGGAGGCCAGCTGCTCCGTGTGCCTTGAGTACCTGAAGGAGCCCGTCATCATTGAGTGCGGACACAACTTCTGCAAAGGCTGCATCACCCGCTGGTGGGAGGACCTGGAGAGGGACTTCCCGTGCCCCGTGTGTCGGAAGACATCCCGATACCGCAGTCTCCGGCCTAATCGGCAACTGGGCAGCATGGTGGAAATTGCCAAGCAGCTCCAGGCCGTCAAGAGGAAGATCCGGGACGAGAGCCTCTGCCCCCAGCACAACGAGGCCCTCAACCTCTTCTGCTATGAAGACCAGGAGCCTGTATGTTTGATATGTGCCATTTCCCACACCCACCGGGTCCACACCGTTGTGCCACTGGATGATGCGACACAGGAGTACAAGGTGGGGAACCAGCTGCTTGATACCAGCATGGGCGGGAGAGTGGAGCAGCAATGGCCGGGAGGTGTTGTGCATAGAGGACTGACTGTACAAGGCTGCATCTGGTGTTCACTCTAATGCCTGCAGCGCTACACGCGAGCCAGCTGTTGTTAGGGCCACTGAGTCATTTCCGACACACAGTGACTGTACAAAAGCATGAGATTCTGAGCAGTTCTTCCTCATCCTCACTATTATGTTTGAGCCCATTGTGCAATCCAGTGTCAGCAGCCACTGGTCAGTCCATCTTGTTGAGGGGCTTCCTCTTTTTTCACTGACGGTGCTACCTGGCTCAACCCCATACCCTTCCAGGACCTGGTCCCTCCTGGTGAGCATGTTCAAAGTGCAGGAAAGGAATTCTCACCATTCTCCTAAGGAGCAATCGGGCTCTACTTCTTCTTCTTTTTTTTTCTGACAGTGCGTGGTACTTTGAGTATTCTTCACCAAGACCCTAATTCAACTGCATCTATTCTTCTAAGGTCTTCGGTACTCTTTTTTTCTTTTTTTCAATTCATTTTATTGGGAGCTCTGACAGCTCTTATCCCAATCCATACACCCATCCATTGTGTCAAGCACATTTGTACTTATGTTGCCATCATCATTTTTTTTTTTTTAAATCATTTTGTTGGGGGCTCATACAACTCATCACAATCCTTACACACATCCATTGTGTCAAGCGCATTTGTACATTTGTTGCCATCATCATTCTCAAAACATTTTCTTTCTACTTGAGCCCTTGGTATGAGTTGCCATCATCATTTTCAAAACAGTTTCTTTCTACTTGAGCCCTTGGTATGAGTTGCCATCATCATTTTCAAAACAGTTTCTTTCTACTTGAGCCCTTGATATTAGCCCCTTTCCCCCTCCCCACCCTTCCTCCCTCATGAACCCTTGATAATTTCTGTTATTATTTTTTCCTGTCTTACACCCTCTGTCTGTCCCCCCTGGGAGGGGGTCGTATGCCGATCGCTGTGATTGGTTCCCCCTTTCCCCGTCCCCTCCTAGTATCGCTGCTCATTATTGGTTTGGTCTTCCACGCGCTTGTCCAGCTCGCACAGGCCGTCGAGCATGCTGTGGCTCGGGTCAGGCCAGTACCACAGTCCTCAGGGCGACATCTTTGCTTCATGCCCCTTTAAAGGAGCCTTAGGCTGCAGATTTGTCCAATGTAAAGCATTGTGTAATTTCTTGACTGTTTCGCAGCATTGATTGCGAACTCACGTGAAATGAAATCCTTGACAACTTCAGTGTGGTTCTCCTTTGTCAGGGTGTTGTCTGTTGGTCCGGTAGTGAAGGTGTTCGTTTTCTTTGCACTGCGTGACAATCGTTCTGAAGGCTGCAGTCTTTGATCGTCAGCAGGAAGTTCCTCGAGCCCTCCTCACTCTCGCAGCAAAGTATCTGCATGCTGCAAGTTGGGAACGAGCCTTCCTCGAATTCTCATGCCCTGCTCTTCTTCAGCTAGTTCGGTTTCTTGGATGATTTGCTTGGCGGCTGGAGTGGGAAAGTGTGGTCAAAGGAGGCAGCCCTGACACACACCTTTCCTGATTTTAAACCGTGCAGTGTCCCCTTGCTCTGTTCCAACAACTGCCTCTTGGTCTGGGTTCAGGTTCCTCATGAGCAAACTGACGTGTCTGCAATTCCTAGTCTTCTCGATGCTATTCATAGTTTGTTAGGATATACACAGCCAAATATGTTTGCATAGTCAATAAAACACAAGTAAATATCTGTCTGGGACTCTTACTCTCAGCTAAGACCTGTCTGAGGTCATCAGTGATATCCCTTGTTCGTGTCCTTTTCTGAATTCAGCTGGAAGAGGGCATGGGATGCGGGATATCATGCCCTTGATAATGAGCTCAGTTAGCCTCAAGTGTGAAGAATAGCAGTGGTGTGGAGTGGTCGACGTGTCACTCTTACGTAACACAGTTGAGTGTTAGATGTGTTCTATGGGTAATTGTCCAACGTCATATTTTTAATAAATTTCTTTTCCATAAGGAAAAGACATAACTTAGCAAAAGCTGAACCGGACTCTGTTCCTCCTCTTGTCACCCTGCTGAAAACATCCCTTGTGTTCATCGGTACTAAGACTAGGTAACGTTACTACTCTTTAGACTCTCACTCACCAGTGTAAGCCGAACAAGATTGTTATTCGCATCTTTCTTGCATATTGGACAGCAGTGTAACTTGCTAGTGGGGCACAGAATAGATAAAATTTGAGTGTTGAGAACTAGAAATTTCAGTGTTGTGGCATGTCAACACTGCTGAAATATGTAGGATGCTGGTTTGAAGTAATTTACAATATAAATCAAGATTTCATTGCATGTATAGGTGCTTGAAGTTGCGTGGAAGGATACGTTTGAAGAAGTCTATCAGGGTACAAGGAGGACCCTTTGAGAGTAAGAGAAAGTTAAGGTGAACGGGGTTGGGAAGTACACAGAGTTGGTGTGTATTGAACAGCTATGAGATTCAACGAGGGAAAAATTGGGTGAGCAGAGATAACTTGGGACAGGCTGCTGGCAGGAGAACGGACCACCAATCAGTTTACACATTAAATGACGGGCACGGAAGAGCGTTGTCCAAGAGGTGCTGAGATGGGTAATAGGCAGTCAAATGGGTTGACCTCTGAATGAAGCATGTGCCACCCACCCCATTGTTACCTTTCCCGCTTCCTCTCCACCCCCAGGAGAAGCTGCAGAAGTGCCTGGACCCCCTGGAGCAGAAGCTGGAGGTCATCACCCGCTGCAAGTCCTCCGAGGAGAAGAAGCCCGGAGAGCTCAAGGTACGGCAAGCTCTTCCATGTGGGCTGCTCTGCGGGCCTTTTCCCAGCAGGTGATTCACCAGTTCTGATTCACTGGGAAAATGCTAGTCTCTTACAATGCCTGGTAGTTTATAGTACCAGGAAACACAGTACTTAAATTCTCATGAGGTAAATTTTGAAAAGAGGAATATAAGAGGTGAAGAACAGATAGCACATCTTGCACCTGGCGAGTTGAGGAAAGTCTTGTATGTTGGGCCCATGTTTTGTAAAACTAGTGGGAAGTTGTTGGTTGGTTAGGAATGCAAGGACAGGAGTTTCTTAGAGGAATTGAATAGAGGAGAATCCTAGAACATTCACTGGGCAGGAAGGGAGGAGAGTTACCAGGAGACCTGCCCAGTGACGTGAGGACCACCTTTTCATGACTCAAGTAAGCTCAAGTAGCCTAACTGATGTTGTTTTACTCCTTGAAAGTTCTTCCCCTCCCTACCCTCACCGGTAACCTTCTGTCTGTCATTCAGTTCCCAGGATGAAAGCCATTTCCTTACAGCCTTTCCTGACCCTTTAGAAAAGAACTTTCTTGATTTTAAAACTATTTTGAATCTTTCATAGCCATATCATATTCAAGCTTATAGTATGGTATTTCAATATCTGCCTGTTTCTTCTATTGGATCATGAGCAATTAAAGTAGCACTGATTATCTGTTGCACTCAGTCATATGGAACAGAATAGAACTGCCTTATAGGGTGTCCAAGGCTGTAACTAATTTAAGGAAGGCAACTGCCACATCTTATTTCCCCAGAGTTGGCTGCTGGGTTCAGGCGACCAACCTTTCAATGAGCAGTTTAGGGACCAGGAACTTCGGTGTTGTAGTGTGTTGTCACTTACTTTGCTTCAATATGTAGTTCCATTTTCACCGCTGTGCCACCAGAGCTTCTCTAGCAATGGCAGTAACATATTTATTGAGTTCTGTGCATTACGTCAAAGGAGCCTTGGTGTCGTAGTGTTTAGGCATCGGGTTGGCCACAAGGTCAGCAGTTTGAAACTACCAGCTGATCGTCTGGAGGAAGAAGAGGTTTTGTACTCCCATAAAGAGATAGCAGTCTAGGGCTGCAGCTCTCAATCTGATTCGTAACAGTAACAAAATTACAGTTATGAAGTAGCACCAAAAGTAGTTTTATGTTTGGGGGGTGCTCACCACAACATGAGGAACTGTATTAAAGGGTCACGGCATTAGGAAGGTTGAGAAACCACTGGTCTATGGGAAGGGGGGGGAAATGAGCTGATACCAAGGGCTCAAATAGAAAGAAAATGTTTTGAAAATGATGGTGGCAACATTAGTACAAATGTGCTTGACGCGATGGATGGATGTATAGACTGTGATAAGAGCTGTCTGAGCCCCCCGTGAAATGATCTTTAAAAAGAGAGAGAGACCGGTCTCAGAAACGCACAGGGACAGTTTGACCCTGTCCTGTAGTTGGCTGAGTCCAAATGGACTCTATGGGAGTGAGTGTGTTTGTTTGCGTAGATTTTGGGGTGTGTTCTGTTTTGCTGTGTTCTTTGTTGATGCGTGACTTTATCGGGTGCCCGTGACATAGAGAAGCTGTAAGACAGAGAGCTTCTGTAGCTTCTCTTTGACAAGGGTGAACTTAAAAAGACAAAGCACAACTTCCTGCCATTGAGTTTATTACAATCCATAGTGACCCTATAAGACAGAGTAGAACTGCCACTTTGAGTTTCCGAAACTGGAAATCGTTAAGGAAGCAAAAAGCCTTGTCTTTTTCCTGCGGAGCCAAGTGTGGGCACAACCTGCCAACCCTTGTGGTTAGCGGCAGAAGGAATAAGCCACGATGCTACCAGGGCTTCTGGGGTGGACTTAGGTGCCCCATAAGGCAGGTGCTCTTACCCCGGTTTACCCGGGAGGACATTGAAACTTGTTGAAGAAGTGAATCCATAACCAGCGATACTGTGTGAATCCACAAATGTGTACTAAATTCCTAGTACAGACCGGACTCTGTGCTTGGTGCTGAGGGTACAACAATGAGCAGAAAGAGTCCTGCCCTCCTTTTAGAGAAACCAGAGTGAAAGAAATCGCAGAAAGCACAATTTCGAGTTTGTAAGCACCCAATAGGGATCCGGTCTGAGTACAGGACTCCACAGAAATAATGAGGTCTTGGAGGTGATGTTTAGAGAGACTACTGGAAATTTAGCATAGGCTTTAAAAAATGGTACAGGGTTGTGTTTTTGAATGAATCTCCTGCATTTCAACAGAAGCATCATCATCATTATTATTATTATTATTGGGACAAAACCCTGTGAATTTGTAAATTTGGGGGCAGAGAATGGCAGTGGCTGAGAAGAGTGGAGGTGAACTTTAAAAATCATTCTTGCGGAGTGCTACTGAAAACCTTAAAAGAATATGAAAATGAAACTACTCTCAGTCACCAGCTTTCCTCTTCCTGTTGTTCACCCTGGTGGCGGAGGCTGGGGAGAAGAGTGACATTTCTGTGGGCTTTCTGCTTTCTGCTGCAAGGTGTGTTTCTTAAGGTAAATTACCATGTCTATGGCCTGTGGCATTACCATCAGCATTCTTGTGGTTATTTCCGCTCCCATTCCTCTCTCCTGGAGTCCTTTACTCCCTTCCTCCCCTGCACCTCCGCCAGCCCACCTAGTCCTGCCCACTTTAAAAGTCCGTTGTTATTCATCATGCTGAAGTGAAAAGTCTAGGTTCAAAACAAACCTGCCCACCCCAGTCCCTGAAGGACATGTTTCCTAAGGCTGTTGTAGAATGGGACCGTGCATGTGCCCAGGTAAATAGGGAGGGAAAGGCTGCAGTGTAACTGCATGCTTGTGCCTTACAGGAGATCGCTGCCAGTGCAGCAGATACAGATTCTGACTGAGGCAGATGTGTGTGTGGTCCTGTCGGCTCAAAAGCCGCGGAAGCTGACACAACTTCGCAGACACTACAGTTGGCTCTCAGCCAAAAGGCTGCGACACGCTAGGAACAAACTTTTCAAAAGGATGCTTTCAACTTTGGGAGCATTCTGAGAAAGACAATACACAGGCAGCTTAGTTCGCACCCGTAGTTGCAAGTGCACTTCTCAGGTACACCATATTGGTCTTGACCGAGAAGCACAAAGGCCTTCTTCTTTCCTCGAGGGGCTGTGTGCACCGACTTCTCAGATTCATAAGCATAGTAAATAGGAAGTTAGCACACCCAGACCCGTCCCTCAGGGTTAGGCTACCTTCCGGGAGCTGGCTGGGGGGATGGTTGCAATCTACGTCAAGCCCGATCTGCCTAAGGGCAAAGCTGTCCACCTGGCTGGTTAAAGGTTAGAAAGAATGCAAAGAACAGATGTGGGGCTCTACCTATAAACTGTGGTCTTCCACTTATCTAGTGCGAAGAATTTAAGCTCTGATACTCAATTTAAGTGGTTCTCAAGCTGGGGCTTATGTTGTGGATAGCCTGCAAAACATTGGGAAATGGTGCTAGTCGGTTGATTATGTGGAATTGCCCCACACATCTTTGCCAGGAGAGCCCCCCAACCATTAAAACAAAACAAAACAAGCATAAACAAGACCCAAGTGATTCAATTCTGACTCACAAGGATCCTACAGTAGGACAGGCCTGTTCCAGGGTTTCCAAGACCACGAAGCTTCACAGAAGCCGCCTGCCACCACCTATGGATTCTCAGCCCAATATTGAATCTGTGCCACCAGGGTTCTGCCCCCCAACCAAAATAACCAACCCCTTCCCAGCCCGCCCCCATTTCCAGAGTATCCTTAGAGAAGGTAACTCCTCACAGCACACCACCAGCCTGTAGATTGAGAGATCAGAGATGATGGATGCATAAACGGGTGAGTCTCTCAGCTTCCTATGATGACGACCATCACCCGTGCATCACTTCTAGAGAAGGAAGGGATGAAAGAGAAGAGGGTGCTGTGTTTTCCTTGGGTGGCAGACCGATGTGGTGAGACGTTCGTTCGGCTAGATTCCAGGGTGCACCTGAGAAGGGCGCAGCACGACCAAGTGACTAGAGCTGAAGTGGAACTGCTCCGCTGAAGCCCACGCGTGCTGGGCTCGGGAAGCCAGTGCTGGGTTGCATGCTCTCCGTGTCTTCGCCCCCTCCTCCCCCCGCAGTGCCGCCTCCTTCCAGAGTCCGAATCTCTGCTGCTCCTTGTGCTTCTGGCTCGGGCTCGTCCTCCCATCAGCCAGAGAAGCAACTACAGTTCTCCTGTGTGGAGACCCGGACTGGAGGGTGAACACTCACGAGGTGTATGGCTGGGCTGTAGAGTGCAGTATTCTGAGCTCAGACACCGAGGGTTGGCTGAGGGGGAGTGGGGGGGGTGCAAATGTTGGCGCACCCATGAGGCAGCTGGCTGAAAAGTTGATGGTGCAAACGCACCCAGAGGCGTCCCAGAAAACAAGCTGGGCAGTCGCCTTCCGAAGGCCCGCGTCCGCACACACTACGGACAATGTGGTCACTCGGCTTAAAGCGAAGTGGATCCGCCAGTGGGCAACCAGCTGCTGTTTCATTTCCGGAACACTCATCTACGCCTGTGTGTTACTGTTTAGGGAAAACATGCTTCAGACGTTAGCAGCTAGTTTGCCAACAAGCCCTGGAACCTGTTTTTGAGGTAGGAACTGCTACTCGGAAGTGACGTGGCGCTGTTTAACAGGCTTGGCCTTGAGATCCGCACATGTATTTTGTAACAACCCATTATCAAACCGCTACTGACTTCTTTCCAGTGGATTTTACCAGGTAGATAGCTTGCAGTGTAGAAATGACAAGCTTCTAACTTTTAAAAAAAATTGGTATATAATTCACGTATCATATACTTCCATAGTTTGGCCATGTTTGAAAAGAGTTGTATATACATCACCACAATCCGTTCTAGTGCATCTTCCCCTCTCCTGAATTCATTATTTACCCCTTAATTTCCTTCAGCCTGCCCCACCCCTGATCCCCAAAAAGTCCTAACGTCAGTTATTGTCTATCTATTCACCCATCTGTCCTTCATGAACTAGGGAACACACAAAAAAGAGTAAATATGTCTTTTAAAAGAAAGGAAAATAAACCAGGGGGCGACTAAAAACACCCGTCGAGAATAAAGAGAACTAGAACAAATCCAAAATGCGTCAAGAGGGAGATCAAGTGACCAGGTATCAGATTATACTGTAGTTCCATCCACTGCCATCAGGTTTACAATAGTCACTGTGTGATAGCAAGGTTACTTGTATCCCTCCACTGTGGTCAGATGGGATCCACCAGAGCCTCACTCCATCCACATAGGGACCCTGCAGATAGATTTTAGGCTCTACTGTCATCCATAGCCTTCTGCAAATTGAGTATTCACAATTGAAGCTGTGATACCTGTCTCTCCATCAGACTTGGATTTGGTATTTATCGTCTTTGGATCACACAGGCTGAAGTGCTTCTTCCATGTGGACTTAGTTGATGCCTCACTTAGATGGCTGCTTGTGTGAATAGAAGCCACACACCATTCGTTTTGACAACCAGGCACCAACTGCTTTCTTCAGCACACTTTGCTGTAGCACCCTTATCTCCTGTGAGTTTCTAACTTTTCCATGTTTGTACTTGCGTTTTCTTGACACGATTGCGTTTACTGAAGCTTTGAAGTTACTCAAGAGCAGAGAGAGTGAGCGAGCTCTGAAATATCTGAGTACCACGTATTGCCCTCTTAGTGGGTTCTAACGTCTTGTGGAAGAGCACTGGTGGTGGTGGGGTCGCATATTGGTAGCACGGTCGTCAGTTCACAACCACCAGCTGCTCCTGTGGGGTCATTAAGAGCTGGAATTGCCTTGATGGCAGTGAGTTTTGTTTTCATACTATCTTGTAGTTCATTAAAACAAAGACCATTTTAGATGTTAATCTTTAAAAGAAAGTCCTTTTTTTTCTTGTGATCTCATCGGTTGTCGTTCTACTAAGCCATCAGTGGGAGATGACAGTGGGGATGAATCCATTCTTTACAGAAGGAAATTCCCAAAGAAAAGATGGGTGTCCTATTCTGTTTCCAATGACTTCAAAAGTCTGTTCATTCAAACACAAGATGTGTGTGTGTGTGTGTGTGTGTGTGTGTGTAGAGGGTGGGGGAGACTCCCTCACACCCCCAGAAGTCTGTTCATTCAAACACAAGGGGTGTGTGTGTGTGTAGGGGGGGCACTCCCTCACACCCCCCTGATCTGCTGAGCCAACATCTCCCTCTGTTCGCAGCGGCTAGTGGAGAGTCGCCGGCAGCAGATCCTGAAAGAGTTTGAAGAGCTCCACCGGCGGCTGAATGAGGAACAGCAGGTCCTGCTCTCGCAGCTGGAGGAGGAAGAACAAGACATTTTACAGCGGCTCCGGGAAAACGCCGCTCACCTTGGGGACAGGCGCCGGGACCTGGCCCATTTGGCAGCTGAGGTGGAGGGCAAGTGCTTGCAGTCAGGCTTCGAGATGCTTAAGGTTCGACCTTTGCCCCCCTGCATAGCTCCTTGGGTCTAGCGTGACCAGTAATAAAGCTTTGCGCCCGTCGTTTTTGCCGCTCAGGAGGCCTGCCCGTCTGCTCTGCTGCTCTAAGCCTGTCCTTCCTTCTCCACATGCTCAAAGGCCCTCTTCTCCTGAACACTTCTGACTGCTCTCGCCCCTTTCTGCCCACTTCTGAGTTCGTACATCTTACCAGCGAGTCTGTGCTTAATTTGTACCAAAGACAAATGTACCTTCTCAAATGGAGGGAAATCTCCAAATTACTGAGAAGCTATGCCTTACGTTTTGTGGTAACTAGAATTACCATGACTTCTAAGTCTGGAACTTGATTCACTTAGTGCTTACAAACAAAAGCAATTATGTGTAACAACATGTTACTTCTGACATGCAACTAGGACTTCTGATGAAATAGTTGGGAGCATTTGTTTTCTGAAGCAGATGAGCGCTGTTAGCAGGCGGTGGGGGACATTTGAGAGATGAGAGTACCAACCTTTGAATCTTCGAAGCTGTACGTTTGTGTGCATGTTGCGTAGCCTTGTTTCCTTGCATGTATGTGTGTGCTGCTTTCCACACTAAACTGAGACATCTGACAGGGGCAGAGATTTGTCGTCTTTGTGTTCTGCACCCCAAGTATCCTCAAATCCAGTTGGCACACAGTGATCAATGTGTTTGTATACCGATACCAGAGGGGAGGTACCAGACCACACAGGAAATTGTAACGCACTCACTCCTATGCTACCAGCTGGATATGCCACCGTTTGGATTGTCTCCTGACCCTCAAGGGAACTGAACTATGTGATTGGTACTTGGGTACAGAATACAGAGCAGACACACAATCCCTGTCTCTGTGTAGCGAGTTCCCCCGTGTCGTAGGAACGGATGAGACACTCGGAAACCATTTGTCAGTGGTGATGATTTTGTGATGACCAAAGTTGGCAGTGGGGCTTAGGTTAGGAGCGATGCCCGTGGGTCCCTCTGGTGCTCTTCTCCTCCGATCCTGACCCTCACTTTGTCCCAGGTCTGTTCACTAGATGTAGCACTTCGTGGGCGAGGGTTGGATCTTTTGCTTTCAGGACTCTTGAATACCAGGACCAATATTGCTTTCTTTTCTCCTTTCCTCTAGGATGTCAAAAGTACCCTAAAAAAGTAAGTTCTTTCCTTTATTTCTGAGTGGGTTGGGTCAAAGGCTAGCCGTGCAGTCGGGTTGGGAGGAAGGGGACAGGGGATGTGGAAGTGGGTTCCTTAGCCCAGAAAGTCAGCTAGAGGGCGAATCACAGAGCCTTCCTTGGAAAGGAGAATGGATCACGTGGGGGCAGATCCCATTCTGCCCTGTGGGGTATCATGTCCAAACCGTGTCTGAGGGGGAAGCAGTCGGAGGGGGTTGGCTGTTGAACACGGTGCATGAAACAGGAAGACAGTTTGCAGACTCAGAAAGGCCCTGTCCGTGGGGCACGTGGCTCTCCCGAGAGGTGAGAAAGCAGGAGGCAAGTGCCGATCTTCCGGAAGGGGGAAATTTCAGTTTCTCCCGAAAGAACATCTGAATAGTTACGTGGCTGGAACTCCCCCTGACCCTGCCTTCTCTTCCCCTTTCTCCTCCCCCTCCCAGATGTGAGAAAGTGCAGGCCATGGAGGTGACTGCTGTGTCCATACAGCTGGAGAAGAACTTCAGCAATTTCCCGCGACAGTATTTTGCCGTGAGGAAGATCCTTAAACAGCTCGTTGGTGAGTTGCTCCTAAAAGAAAACAGCAGAAAGAATCAGCAGAGAAAAGATAAAGCCTTAGGCCCTACCTCATCTGGGCTTCCGTTTCCATGCTCACCTCCCACCCCTTACCTGGCGTTCATGGGCCTCTCAGTAGAGTCACAGAAATCAAGTGAGTGAGGGATCACCTCTCATTCCCATGTTGTTCCTAACTAGCCACTCAGAGCTGAGTCATTTGCCCAGGTTATTAATTAGAGCAGGTTGCGTGACCGTGTAATTTGGCACCTAACTGGAGTGTAGGGGAGTCCCATTAAGGGAAAGATCAGGCAGTGCCCGGAAAGTAGACCCAGCAGCTGGCTCTCTGTCCTTAGGCCATATGCCGCCTTGTTCTGAATTCTTCCTAACATAGTCTTTCTGGCCCTTGATTCGACTTGGCTCTTCCCCACACTGTGAAGTTAATGTCAGAGGGGGGTGGGGAGAAAAGTAGGCTGGAACCTAGCCCACCTGCCCTTTCAGGCAGGTGATCAGTACCTATTTACATTAGGGCCAAGGTCAGAAGCAAAGCCATTGTTCCTGCCACCCTCTTAGGTGACACCCGGAGGAAGTTAACCAAACCGGATGTTCTGGGGGACCTTAAAGACAATCGGCTTTGGGAAAGCAGGCTGGAAGGGGAATGTAGGGCTAGGAGCTATTCCCATCCTCATCTAGCTTCCCACTCTGGCTTCTCCCGCCAGCGGACTTGACCCTAGACCCTGAAACCGCGCATCCTAACCTCGTCCTGTCAGAAGATCGGAAGAGTGTCAAGTTCGTGGAGACAAGACTCCGGGATCTCCCTGACACCCCACGGCGCTTCACCTTCTACCCCTGCGTCCTGGCCACGGAGGGTTTCACTTCAGGCCGACACTACTGGGAGGTGGAGGTGGGCGACAAGACCCACTGGGCAGTGGGTGTGTGCCAGGACTCCGTGAGCCGGAAGGGCGAGCTGACTCCACTCCCTGAGACTGGCTATTGGCGTGTGCGGCTATGGAACGGGGACAAATATGCGGCTACTACCACGCCTTTTACGCCCTTGCGCATCAAGGTGAAACCTAAGCGGGTGGGCATATTCCTAGACTATGAGGCTGGCACGCTGTCTTTTTACAACGTCACAGACCGCTCGCATATCTACACCTTCACTGACAGGTTTACTGAGAAACTGTGGCCTCTCTTCTACCCGGGCATCCGGGCTGGTCGGAAGAACGCTGCGCCACTGACCATTAGGCCTCCAACAGATTGGGAGTGACAGGTGGGAACATGGAAAGAATTGGGGTGAGGCAGGGTCAAGAGCTGGGGGATTTCCTTCCTGTGTCCTGGGACGTCTCCCTGTGTGCCTGGCCCTGCATTGTCCAGGAGGAACACCCTGGTTTCCAGGACGGTTGGTGTGGCTTAGGAGGACTGGGCTGGGGTGAGCACAACCGCACAACCCCAGCTCACCGCCAGGGGGCGGAGCTGCTTCCAGGGGATGGTCTCCTCTGCCGTCCCCAGGTTTCCAGTTGCACAGAGACAGGGAGGGAAGGGAGGAGCAGCTGTTCAAGAAGCAGAAAGCTGATGGGAGGGAGGGATCTGCCTACCTCACACTGGAGGAGGAAATAGACCCTTATAATAACTTTTAAGGGGTTTCTTGAGAGCGACCGGTCCTCTGTTTCTTGAGGACAGTCACAGAGGTCTGTAAAGATGAATGGCAGTTGCTCTCACGGTTCCAGAAGCAGAGAGGGTTTCTGGGACAAAGATTTGGCATTGAGAATGTTAGGGAAGGGAGTTGATGCGGTCTTCGATTCCCCGGCGAAGGTTACCATTGTGAGTAAGATGGTTCAAAAGCAGAGTCGGGCAGAGTGGGTGAACAGAAGAACAGGAGCACCCAGGCCCCTGCCCAGCCTTTTAGCAGAGCTGACTCACTGCCCGCTGCCTTATACTTGGTGTCTCCAGGAAGTCGGTGGCTTTCTCCTTGAGAGGAGGCCCTATGAAAGAGATTCTGCAGTCATGTCCACCTTTTCACCGCTTTCCCAAAAGAACGTGGAAGGGAGAAGGTCGGGTGTGAGAGAGGCAAGAGGAAGCTATGTCTGTCCAAAGCTCTGGGCCGTAAAGAAGGCTATGAAATGGTGAGTGTCAAGATGTCAGTCTTGTTACCCAGAAGATGTGCCCAAGTCAGAAAGACAGAGCAGTACTGTCTTTCTCGTCCTGAAGACAGTAGACAAGGGTGGTTTGGGAAGGGAAGGCCTGGCCTGGAACTCCAGTTCGGAAGAGCCAGCTTTGTGCTTGTTGCCACCCTTCATCTTATGCCAGTCTGCATTTCAGAGAACGCACATTCTGTTACCAATAGGCCAAAATAAACAATGCTGCAGGGTACATACGTTGTCAAAAATGGTCAAGTGATGCATGCCACACCAGACTCCAGTGATTTGGCTGATCTCTGCTTGGGGAATCAAGAGTTGAGAGAAGATTTTGGGACAAGAGACTGCAATTTCCTGAGGGCATTTCAGCTCCTCTTCCCACCTCCGCAGGACCTTGTCCAGACTCTTCTCCTCTTACCTTTGTGCCTTGACTGTGGTTCTTTGTGGCAAGACGCTTTGGTTGGTTGAAATAATATGGAGCAAAGGACCGCTGAAGTGTTTTATGTTGTGTGGTAATTTGTCAGTGGCCCCGGGAGTGATGGCTGTGAGGTCACGGAGGTGTTTAAAATGCATGCTCCCAGGCCCCACCCTCAGTGAATGATCCAGGATTGGGGTGGATTTAGGCATCTGTATTTGAAACTCTCCTCCCGCTGTGTTCTTGAGGACCCTGGTAAAACTGGTCCTAGAGGAGGTTTCAACCATTTCCTTTTCTCTGAGCTGGAAAATCGGTTGCCCGTACCAGCCTGGCAAGAGACCGAGGCCGTAACCTCTCCTGACCTGTGTTGCCCTCTCCAACCCCCACCCCACCCTCATCTCAGGGTTCATTCTACCCCTTCTGTCCATTTGCTTCTGACCTCAGGAATTTGCAGTCCATTAGCTATGAAGAGGAATCAAACGGGACGTCCACCAACCAATGGGAGGCAGGCAGAGGTCAGGTGTAGGGGCGTCATTTCAGGGGTAGGGAATGCTATTGATAGGCTTCTATCTCTAATGCTTCAGACTATGTTTCGTGGGTGAGAAGAAAGGAATGGGATTAAGCTGTGCTTTCCTGAGAGCCTTCTCTCCATCACACTCATGGGTCTTCCTGCTTTGACTCCCACCGGCACAAGTGCCTTTTTGAATGTATAACCACTATTCCTCCTGCCTGTCAATCTTCAGGCATCTGCCTGGGACTTCAGAACTGCAGGCCTAGCTGGTTATTGATTGCCATAACCATTGCCCACACTTACCTGCACAGAGAAACTTTAAGATCTACTCTGGTAGCCTTTCTAGTCTCTGCTTGGTCTAACTCATTTGGGGTTTGAGAAAGGACACTGGAAGGAATCGAAACTCTTAGGGACCCTCGGATGGATGGGGATGGTTTTACAAATAAATGGGTTTACAAATAAATGAGTGTGTGCGACCGTGGGGTGGCGCCAAAGGACGGGCCGTGCGGTCGAGGGGCGTGCACTTCCCAGGAGGCCTTTCGCGGGCGCCGGGGGCGGGGCCTGCGAGCACCGACGAGGGGCACCCGCCGCCGGGATGGCGGGGCCGGTGAAGGACCGCGAGGCCTTCCAGAGACTCAGTTTCCTGTACCAGGTGGGTCGGGGGCGCGCCGGGGGGAAGGCCCGGGGCGACGGGCCCTCGCCTGACCGCCGCCCCTCCCCAGGCCGCCCACTGCGTGCCCGCGCAGGACCCGGAGAACCAGCCGCTGGCGCGCTTCTACTGCCACACGGAGCGGACCATCGCCAAGCGGCTGGTCCTGCGGCGGGACCCCGCGGTGAAAAGGAGCCTGTGCCGCGGCTGCTCGTCGCTCCTGGTCCCGGGCCTGACCTGCACCCAGCGCCAGCGGCGTGAGTGCCCGCCCCCGGGTCCCCTGGACAGTCCCGCCTGGCCCGACGAGCGCAGGCTGCCTGGCGCTCGTCTCCGACGGGGAGCGTAAAGGCAGAATCGCCGCATGAGCAGGGCTGGGCTCGCGGGGGAAGGCGGGTTCCCGTCGTCATTTCTCCCGGGAGAGGTGGTGTACGTTAGGGTCGAGTCTGTCGAGGCAGACTGATGGAGCACGATCGACTAGAAAGCGGGTTGGAGCCGAGGTACTTAGGCAGGTGGGATTCGAGATAAGCCCTGGGAGGGCGGGCAGAAGCGGGACCCTGAGGCCAGCCAGGTCGTGGAGAGTCTGGTTAAGGAGGCTAGCCTTTTTCTTCAAAGGTAGGAAGAGCACAGGGCGAACGTCTGTAATATTTTAAATCAATAAAAAGGTATGAAGAAATTGATGAGCTTTATGCTGGGGCCTGACACTATCGAGTTTACATTTAAAGGAGGGAAAAAAATAGAAAACGGTTTAAAAAAAACCAACTTGGGAATTAGGTGAGGGGGTTACATTTCAGCCATCATTTTTGCATTCAGTAATTTAAACAACCTATTAAAACTCTCAATTTCTCTTTTTTTCTCTCTCTCCACCTTGTAGAATATTACCTTCCCCCTAGTTAACACCTGTGTGCCTACCTCGAGCATATTGCCTGTTGCTTTTAGGATGAAAACCTTTATCTTGATTTTTCCTTTCTCACCGTGTCTCATACGTGGTGTTTCTGTGATTGACTAGTTTCAGTCAGCATAATGCCCTTCGCACCCATGCAGTCATGAGGGGTTTCACAGTTTATCGTTACTTTCTAGCCCTGCATGGGTTCCATAGGATGTAAATGCCAGGTCCCGTGTTCCGGCTATCACGACTGTGGGTGTGCATCTGTTGGGGTTTCGGCTCTTCGTTGGGGGACGTCCCAAGTAAAGGGATTGCTGGTTATGTGGTATTTCTATTCCCAATTGTTTGAGGAAGCACTGTGATCATTCTTCCTTTTGGAAGAACTGATATCAAACTAGTCCCAAGGAATTGGGGATTGAAGAAGTCCCCAAAGTTTAACTCTTCCAAGATGCTAGTTTGCTCCACCACCCACAACCCCGTATCCTTTGAATATATTCCTTCATGTATCTGGGTTCGGCGAAGTGCTGCAATGTCCTACAGAAACTCGAGGGAACGTTTCATGTGATGATGGGTGCTGTTTGGTCCAAAATGCGAAGGTCAAGCAGGGGTAAACCAGATGCTGGGGCCAGGTGACTCGCTCCACTGCTGGCTCTTGTCAATGCTGCTTCTCAGATGGCTCCATTTATACGCAGCTGGGTGGCATTTCAGGGAATCCTGTTCACAGTTGCTCACAGGCAAATCCTATCAGTATCTTCCCATACCTTCTTACCAGATCAGTGCAGGGAAAGGTCAATTGGGGGGGTGGTAACATGGTGCAATCAGGTTTCACCCAAATATAATGACCTGTTCTCTACTCCTGGACTGTATCTTCTTTATGCACCTATGACCTGGGGTCTCGGGCAGGATGCTTCCAGTAGGCATTGGCCTCCTACCAATCATAATCAGCCTGCCTGTTTCCCAGGCCACTCCAGAAGTAGGGATTTGCATTTCGTTTTTTCTTCTCTGTAAGCTGTAGCCTATAGAATTCCTTAGAAGCATTACAGATAACAGTAAGCAGTGGCACGGTGTGATCCCATTCACTAACTGCAGATCTTCATCTCATCCTAGTCCTGTTAGTTAGCAGAGTGCCCTCCCAAATGGGGCGATAGCCGCAGGCATATGGAATCCAGAATTGTAATCGGTCGCATAAGGATTACGGCTGGAAGGGCCGTGTGAATTAAGTATAACTAAGCACCATACCACTTTCCACAGTCCCACCAGGAGCGTTCTGATCTCCACAATCCCTCCAGCATTTGCTATTTTCTGTTATTTTTAACTATTATCAAAGCTGGTGTGAGATGGTGACTCGTCTTGTTTTTATTTGCACCTCTGGAATAGCTAGCTATCTCCAGCATTTCCTTGGATGCTTGTTGGATGCCTGGATGTCTTCTTTGGTGAACTGTTTATGTCATTTGCCCATTTTAAAATTAGACTATTGATCTTGTTCTTGTTGAAATGTTGCCATTTTCGATAGATTATAGAGATTAGTGCCTTGTCTGATCTGTCGTTGCCAATTTTTCTTTTTTCCCTAGTCTGGATTCTTAACTCTTAGATGATGCCTTTAAAAGGGGAGGGGGGTTGTTTTGTTTTTATTTATAAGCAGCCTCAGCAACTACTATTTCTTTATTTTCTATTTGTCATTGTTGTAAATACATAGATCACACCTTTGCTGATTTAACTTTTTTTAATTAATAAATCATTTTAGGGGGCTCTTACAGCTCTTCTAACAATCCATACTTCAATTGTGTCAAACACATTTGTACATATGTTGAAAAAACAGGTTTGGTTTGGTTTTAAATCATTGTATTGGGACTCATACCGCTCATCACAATCCATCCATCCATTGTGTCAAGCACATGTGTACATATGTTGCCATGATCCTTTTCTTTCTACTTGAACCCTTGGTATTAGCTCATTTCCCCTCCCCCACCGTTCCCTCCTTCATGAGCCCTTGATTCTTTATTTATTTAGTTAGTTAGTTAGTTAGTTAGTTAGTTTTTTTCATGTCTTACACTGACCAGTGTCTCCCTTCACCCACTTTTCTGTGGTTCATCCCCCTGGGATGGGGGGTTATATGTAGATCATTGTGATTGATTCCCCTTTCTTTCCCAACCTTCCCCTTCCGCTCCTGGTATTGCTACTCTCGTGATTGGTCCTGAGGGGTTTATCTGTCCTGGATTCCTTGTTTCCAGCTTGTATCTATACCCGTGTACATGCTCTGGTCTAACGGGATTTGTAAGGTAGAATTGGGATCATGGTGGAGGGAGGAAACATTAAGGAACTAGAGGAAAGTTGTATGTTTCAACAGTGCTATATTGTGGGGATGTCCAGTTGCCTACAGATGGGCTTGAGGTCTCCACTCTGCACTCCCCCTCACTCACATTGATATGATTTTTGTTCTGGGTCTTTGATGCCTGATACCTGATCCGATCGACACCTCACGATCACACAGTGTGCTTCTTCGGTGTGGGCTTGGTTGCTTCTCAGCTAGATGGCTGCTTGCTTGTTTAACTTCAAGCCTTTAAGACCCCAGATGCTTTATTTTCTAATGGTTAGGCACCATCAGCTTTCTTCACCACATTACCATATGTGCCCATTTTGTCTTAAGCGATTGTGTCAGGAAGGTGAGCATCACAGAATGCCAGGTTATTATAACAAAGTGTTCTTGTGTTGAAGGAGTACCTGAGTAGAGGCCCAGTGTCAGTCTGCTACCTTAATACTTAACATATAAATATATGTACATAGATATATTTTCCTATCGTTATATATAAATACATTTACATACGTACATGCCAGAATTTAGACCTCTATATATGCCCTTTACCTCCTAGTTCTTTCCTCTATTTCCTTTTACTTTCCTCTTGTCCCACTATCATGTTTGGCCTTCATTCGGGTTTCAGTAATTCCTCTTGGCTACATTGCCCTTGAGTGAGCCCCACCAGGTATCCTATACCCTCCTCACCATCGATTTTAGATCACTAGTTGTTCCCTTGTCCCTGGGTTGGTTGACACCCTCCTTATTTCCCCTGCCTCCCTCTCTCCCATGTCCCATTGTTTTCTCCTCTGGATTGTTTATCCCGCCTGTCTTATCTGGATAGACATGCAGAGACAATAATAAGCACAAAAACAAAATAAAGCAACAAAACAATAAAAACGAAGGACAACAAAAAAAAGTCTTTAAATAGTTCAAGGTCTGTTTGTTGACCTTTAAGAGTGTTTTCCAGTCCAGTCTGATGGGGTGCCACACCCTTACCTCCAAAGTCTATTTTTGGTGTTCCCCTGGGGACTTTATCTCTCTGCTCCCCTTGCTGCTCTGTTGCACACCCTTAGTGTTTCACCCTGGTGTGGTGGGGGCAAAACAGTTTTATTGGCATATAATTCACATACAATTCAATATTGATGAAGCCCTTGGATACACATAAGTGTCTTATTTTTAGGCTGTCCTGGTCATGCAGCATGTTAGGCAGGGTTCTCTGGAGAAACAAAACCAGGACACTTGTGGTTATGTGTATTATGAGGATGGGTTTATACAGCGAGAAGGAATATAGCAACTAATTAGTCCACACAACAGTACAGAGGGCTCAATTCAACTCACTTTGATGGAACAGTTAATATACTGGAGGTCCTTCAGCTCACCTGGGCTGCCAGGTCCAAGGTCAGGGAAGCATGCAAGCAGAGTTTGCTGGTGGAAGCTGGCTGGCAGGCAGCAAACAACAGGATGAATCACAACAGTAAGTAGCTCGGGGGCTTAGCGAGGCAGGCTAATGTGATCTGGAACTCAAGCGTGGGGACAGGATCCACGAGCCTCAAGCTCAAGCAGTGCCCCACCAGCAGTGTGTGGAAGCAGTCTGGAAGGACCCTCAAGCTCTAGTGACAAGATCCACAGGTTGGTTTGGCCTACAGGTAGTGTAGCGCAAAGGTTGAGGCAGAGAGCTAGCTAGCTAAAGCAGCAGCACGCTGGTCTGCTGGTAAGGTCACCGGGGTAGCAAGAGACGAGGGCAGGCCTTACAGAGCCATTTATCTCTTTTCCCTCCAGTCAAACTGCAATCCGATTAATCTCTGCCCACATGTTCCTATTGGCCAGGTTGACACAACAAACCTATCACATCTAGTTTGTCTTTTGCTTGGTGTGTGTGTCTTTGCTATGTATTAGGGCCCTTAACTTTGCCCCTACTCTTTCATTGATGAGCTTTATAGTTTAGCGTTTACATTTAGGTCTTTAAATGAGTTCTTTTTTGTATTTGGAGTGAGGTGTGGATCCTGTTTCATCCTTTTGCAAATGTATATCCAATTTTGCAAGCATCAGTTGTTGAATAGGCTATCTCTTCCCCATTTATTTAATGTCGTTGGTCAAAAATCAGTTGACTAGATGAATGGATTGATTTTTTAGTTCTCTCTGTTCCATTGTTCTGCACATATATTGTACCAGTTTTGACTACCAGGCCTGTGTAATAGGGTGTCTGTGTTTAGTAGGTGTTGAGATCTGGCAGTGAGAGGCCTCTTACTTTGTTCTTCGTTAGACCTTTCCTTATCCTAGGGGTCTCTCTTCTTTGTATATGAAGTTGGTAATCAATTTCCCCATTTCTTTAGCAAATGATGCCGGGATCTGGATCAGAATCAGCATTGCATTATATTTGTAGATTTCTTTGTAGTATTGACATTTTCACAATGTTAAGTCTTCCTATCCATATTCTTCCACTTTTGTAGGTCTCTGTTGGTTTCTTTGTGTTTTGGTTTTCTTTGTATAAGTCTTTTGTCACTGTTTAGGTTCATTGCTAAGTATTTTGTTTTTGTGTGGCCGTTGTAATTGTTGCCCTGGTTTCCTTTGTGGACAGGAATCTGTACTTGCTGCTCTTGTACTCCTTACCACAGTTCCAAAGCTCGCAGTTACTTCTACCAATTTTCCTGCCGAATCCTTGGAGTATTCTACATATAGAATCGTAATCTGCAACTAGAAGTTTGCTTCGTTGCCATTTTGGGTGCCTTGGAATTCTTTTTCTTGATTAGTAGCTCTGGCTAAGGCTTACAGTGCAATACTGAATAAGACTGGCGATGAAAGGCATCCTTGTCTGACTCCATTGTGCAAGGGGAATGCTTCCAGTTTCTCCCCATCGAGTGAAAAGTTGGCTATTGGTTTTGCAAATAGCCAAAAACGCTGCCCTTGAGTCAGTGCTGACTCATAGTGACCCTCTGTGGGTTTCTGTGACTAACTGCTGATGGGAATAGAAAGCCCAGTCTTTCTAGGAGCTGCTGCTGGTTTCTAACTGCCATCCTTGCTGATCACAGCCCAACTCATAACCAGTACACCACACAGGAAAAGGACTTGAGGCAAAAACTAAGATCTTTTCTCCTGCAAACCCTGGCACTCACTTTTATCCCACATCCACCATAGGCCGCAAGGGATTGCGCTGGACAGTACAGACCTGCCTAACGTGCCAGCGCAGCCAGAGATTTCTCAATGATCCCAGGCATCTGCTCTGGGGAGACCGGCCTGAAGCCCAGCTGGGGAGCCTGACAGGTGAGAGGAAGTAGACAAATGAGGGCTGTCCCAAGAGACTGGGACACAGGTGGGTTCTGAGTTGGTGGAAGACAGGCCACAGTCACCTCTAATTCTGCTCTTCTGCCCAGATCTCAAAGCAACACAAGCCCCGCCAAGCACAGCGCTCCCCGTTCCAGTCGACCTTCCTGAAGAGAAAGTACAGCCTCTGAGCCCATTAGAAGTGATGGATGCACCCAGTCTGCCCAGGAAATAAAGTTCAATTTGGTTCCACTTTGTGTCATTCAGTTTTGTGGGGATTTCGACTCTTTATTTTCCTTTTTGTGTATCTGCCCAAATTTCTCTGTCACTGTTTAACCTCTCCTTTGTCCTTACCATCCTATATTCCCGCCAGGTAGAACTGTTCAATATCCTTTAACCACCCCTGGGCCCCCACACCCAGCTCCCAGCTCCAGGACCCTGGCTTCAGTGCTTCCTCAGTGCAGTGCCATGAACAGGCTGCAAATTCCCAAGCTGTCTCGAGGTCTCAGGCCCTTTTAAGGCTTTCCATCTTAAGGTAGTCCTGCCTGCTGACTGGAGAGCTGGACAGACAGCCAGGGCCACTGCTGCTTTGTTTGTCACTGCCGTTTTTAAATAAGGGTAACAATGCTGGAGCATCTGGTGGGCTTCCCTTCACACCCTCCAGGTTCGTTTCTTCTACTGTCAGAGCACTCTTACTTCACACTTAGCTCATGAGGGAAGGACGTGGTGCCAACCTGAACGCTGGAGAGGCAGCAACAAAAGGACGCGGGCAGACAGTGCACAAGTCAGCTCCATAGGTAACCCCTCAGTGTTGTCTGGAGGCAACTCAAATGGGTTTGGGTTTTTTTTTATATGTATATATATCCTTGCAAGAGCCTACTTAAGGTCCAATTTCTCAGACTAACCATTTTGGTAGCTTCCAGCTAGCCGATCAGTGTACCCCAAAAGTGATGGCCTTCTTTTTCCTTTTCTCTTGTAAAACCATGTTATAGTAATTATTGCTACATAAAAATCACTTCAAAATGATGCTTAAATGGTTTATTGTTGCCTGAGTTTTGGGCTAGGGTTTCTTGGCTGCTGGGCCGGGTGGTTCTGTGTGTGTGCCATCCGCCCGAGCCCCATTCATCTGCATTTAGCTGGTGGCAAATACTGTATCACAAATACGTGTAGTTTTTGCAACAATCAAACTGATAGTACTCTTCAACTTAAAAAAAAATCAGGTGGAAATCTTTTTGTTTATGTGATAATATAAACTTAATCTTAAAAAACAACCCAAGTCCAGAGGAGGAGTCAAGATGGCATCCAGGTAGACCCATCCAGCACTCCTGTTGTTCAGCCAGAAAATTAAGAGCTAGGCATGGGAAGCAAGCCTGAGAAGAAAGCAACAGGACAGCTGGTCCTGGAGGGACTCGGGAGGAGGCAGGGGAAGGGAGTGGTGAGCAAACACCATAGACAGGAACAACTAGGGAAGTAAAATCAACAAGGAGGAGGACATAGAGATCCTGGGAGTGTTGGAGCAACAGCAATCTAGCCGAAAAGAATTACTAAGAGGCAGAAAGGGCAAGTGTGATGGTGAGGTAGGAGGAAGGTAAAAGGAAACAAAGGAAAGATACAGGAAGCAAAGCTATGGATAGAGGTATAAGCAGGTGTGTAATATGTAAATACATTCATAAAAATAGAGGTATTTGGGGTATGTGCATATATTTATATGGCAATACACTGAGATGGTGGATGGACTTTGGGCTTCTGCTCAAGCCCTGCCTCAATGCAAGAACACTTTGTTCTAACAACCTGGCATTCTGTGATACTCAACAGACTAGCTAAAAACAAGATGGTGCATAAGCAAATGTAAAGAAAGCAGATGGTGCCCAGCTATCAAAAGATAGAGCGTCGAGGGTCTTAAAAGCTTAGTTAAACAAGTGGCCACATCTAGCAGAGAAGCAACAAACCCACACAGAAGAAGCACACCAGCCTGGCAACATGAGGTGTCAACTGGATAGGGTAACAAGCATTAGAAGACCCAAAACAAACAAACCATTTTATTGAGAACAAGGGGGGCCAGAGCAGAGACCCAAAACCCATCTGTAGTCAATTGGACAGACCCTCACAGGAAGAGTCACAAGGAAGGGATGAATCAACCAGGGCACAGTATAGCACTGATGAAACACAATATTCCTCTGGTTCCTTGAGGCTTCCTTACCCCCAACTATCATGACCCCAGTCTTGCCTTTCACTCGGGCTAGAACAGAGCATGAACACAGGTACAGATAACAGAAATGGGAGTAGCAATACCAGGAGGGGAGGGGGAAGGGGGAGTGGAGGGGAGGAAGGGGAAACTGATCGCAATGATGGACACATAGCCACACACACATACTCCCACTGGGATGACAAAAAACATTAACCATGGGGGAAGGGAGACTGGTCGGTGTAAGATATGAAAATAATTATAATTTATCAAGGGGTCATGAGGGTGGGGGAGGGAGGGGAAAAAGCAGCTGATATCAAGGCCTCAATAGAAAGTAAATGTTTAGAAAATAATGATGGCAGCATATGTACAAATACGCTTAATACAATTGATATAGATTGTTACAAGAACTGTAAGAGCCCCAATAAAATGATCTTTTAATTTTAAAATAAGTAAAAAGATAAAAATTCGATACAACTTCAGATGATCTATATATGCACCATGGGATATAAAAAGGCTTTTCCCCAGCTTGTCTCCCCCAAATATATGTCAGACCTAGGACACTGCTTACAACTAATGGTAAATGATTGTAGCACACTCGGAAGCAAGCTGCTTAGAAGTTATCTCCCTGAAGGCATCAGCCATCCAGAGCAATCAGACCACTGTCTGGTCCACTGAAGGTGAGGCTCACTCCCTACTGTTAAAGACAGTGGATTGCTTTCCCTGGAAGACTCAGAGTAAGTCAAACCACCAGCTCAAGGACGATCAAGGTTAGGCTGCCATCTTGAGTCTAGGGTCCGCCCATCTTGTCACATGTGTACCCCTAGTCCCTCCCCTTCCTATTACGTGTACACCCCTAGCTCATCCCCCTTCCTGTGATGGGTATGCCTATTATACAACCCCTTCCTGTGACATAGGTCATTACCTGTAATCAGGGGGTTTGCACGCCCCCAAAGATATATAAGCCTTGGTTAGAAATAAATCCTTCCCTCTTTCCCTCTCCCTCCCTCTCTCTCCTCCCCCCGAACCTCCATGTGGACCATCATGAGGGGCTGAGATGAGGATGCTGCTATGAAGTGTGTCTGATCCCATCATTTATTCTTCTCTCTTACCTCTCCTATGCTCTATGAGTTTACTATGATCATTATATATTATAACCATGCAATCGCACCTACAGACCCATGATATATTGTTAAGGGCTGATTTCCCTGACAATGCACCAACATTCTATATTAATTTTTTTTCTTTGTGTTCTTACCCAATTTTCTGAAGAAAGGACCCATGACATGAATCAGTTTCCATGAGACCCCTGCAAAAGACTAGAGAAAATTAAGTTCCCAGCTCTTCTCTCGTCTCCCCCGAGGTGGGTCGGGGTTACCTGTGGGAGAAACCAGCTCCACAGAACTACATCACAGGTCCGATAGGCACAATTGTACGGTTACAATATAGAGAGGTCATAGTAAAGTCATGTCAGATAGGAGGGAGAGTGAAATAAAGGAGTCAGACACATTTCATGGCAACATGCTCACATCCTGGACGGCCGTGACCTCACCAGCCAGGTCTGTGCACAGCGCGGGCAGAGCGGGCAGGAGGAGGAGGGAGATTTATTTCTGACCAAGGCTTATGTATCTTCTTGGGGCGTGCAAGCCCCCTGATTACAGGTAAAGACATACGTCACAGGAAGGGGTTGTACTATAGGTAGGAAGAGGAGGGATTAGGGGTACACATGTGACAAGATGGGCAGATCCTAGATTCAGGATGGCAGCCTAACCTTGGATGTCACTGAGCTGGTTTGACGTGTTCGGAGCTGTCCATCGGGAAAGCAATCCAGTGTCCCTAACAGCAGGGAGTGAGCCCGCCTATGGTGGGACAGACAGTAGGGTCTGCTTGCTCTGGATGGCTGGTGCCTTCAGGGAGATAACTTGACAATCATTTACCATCAGTTGCAAGCAGTGTCCTAGGTCTGACATATATTTGGGGGAGAGGAGCTGGGGAACAGCCTTTTTATATCCCACAGTTACCCACATGAACAACACCACCCCCACCCCAAGGTGAAGTGTGAAACAATGGTTTATCATCCCAACATTGACCTCGAGGGCAATGTCTGCCTCAACATGCTCAGAGAGGACCGGAAGCCGGTCCTCACGAGAAACTCCATCATTGATGGCCTGCAGCATCTCTTGTTGGAGCCCAACTCTGAAGACCCCCTGAACAAGGAGGTTGTCCCCCTCCCTGGCCTTGCATCCCCTCCCTGCCACCTGCCCCTCGGTTATTTTTTTTTACCACCACATGATTAAGGTTGGTGCTGTATCCCCTAGCCTACTCAGCAATGGTAGATGAACTGGCTTATCTAGGCCCACGCTGGGTGCTCCCCAACCCCCACTCTGGGTACTGGGGTGGGTAGGCAAGTGGCCTGTATAGCTGGGCCCCCAAAACCCTACCCTCTGTCACCGGCAGTCCACCAGGCTGTTACAGGGGAATATTACTGCAAAAAAGAAAACTAAAGAGTAGTTTAGACATCATGCGACTCAATGTTTGGGTAATAAACATGACAAATTTGCAAGTACATGCTAGAACACGAAACTACAACTATAAGAAAGTTAATTTTCTAAAAGAACATTTCAATGTTACAAATATAATACTTCTGGGGTCTTAAAGGCTTGCAGTTAAACAAGCAGCCATCTAGCAGGTGAGCAACAAAGCCCACATGGAAGAAGCCCAGCCTTTTTTTTTTTAATTTATTTTAATCATTTTATTAGGGGCTCATACAACTCTTATCACAATCCATACACACATCAACTGTGTAAAGCGCATTTGTACATTCATTGCCCTCATCATTCTCAAAATATTTCCTTTCCACTTAAACCCCCGGCATTAGGTCCTCATTTTTCCCCTCCCTCCCTGCTCCCCCCTCCCTCATGAGCCCTTGATAGTTTATAAATTGTTATTTTGTCATATCTTGCCCTGTCCGACATCTCCCTTCACCCACTTTTCTGTTGTCCGTCCCCCAGGGAGGAGGTCACATATAGTTCCTTGTAATCGGTTCCCTCTTTCCAACCCACTCTCT